AGCACACATCTCAATAAAATTGCAGACAGCAATTCAGCCTCTGAAGTCAACAGTTTCAACCTCTCACTTAAAGAAGCAAAACTAGACTTTTTCCTCTTTGAGTAAAAAATACAATGTGACCTGGATACAATTTTACACAAACATTTTTGTTGATAAGCAAGAATAGATGAGATGTTTCTAGACTGATAGCAGTTATCACTGGCTTCTGTCGTAGAATAGAGCGACCAAATCATTTTTTTTTGCGAAGAATAACCGAAAGCTAACGTTAATTATCTGCAAATTTTTTTAAACCACATAAACTGGATTTTGGTTATTTAAGGTTAGATGAAATAGAGGAAGGATAGAATCCTCCTCAATTAGGTCAAAAAACCGTTTTCGAATCCTCCTTAGACCCGTCGGTGTAAATCGCTATCTTTCTTAACGTTATAAGTAACACGTTCTCCCCTCCATTCCCCTCTTGAAGGAGTTCTCACGGCAAAGTTATTATGGAAGAATAAGCGAGGACATAAGTAATCCAAGTCACTATTCGCATCAATCGGATAGATTGATGGATTGATGGAATGTTACCATATCCGAGCGCAATCGAGCGCCAACCGTTTAAATCATTAAGTCTTCTTGCACTAACAGTAGCCACTTTTAAAGACGGTTTTTGTTTTTTTAGATATTTTAAACTTTTATTTTGAACGTATTAATATTCGTATTAATAATATTAATATTCCTAATATTAATATTCCTAATATAAGGAATTTTCATGATGAAGGCAAAAGCGAATTTGCCGAAACACGTGTAGAGACACACAAACATAACGTTCGAAATAAAACTTTAAAATATTTAAAAAAACAAAAACCGCCTTTAAAACATTTTCGACGTATCGACTTAAAACTAAAACAAAATTACAATAGCTACTTGTTAAATGTGAATATCAGTGGGTACCAAGCGAAACATGACATTAAGCGCACTGATAAGGCACGATCTCAATGCCCCCGTTGCGCCCAAACAAGCGAATCTTTGTTGTCTGTTTAGCCTTTAAACAATGTACAGTTTATACAACGAAGGCCCCCAAACTAAGCATCCGTAGGTTAAAATTAACCGAACGACATCTGTGTATGGTCAGAGAATTACTTTAGGTTGCAACCCCTGGTTCTTACAATACATACCTTTGCGCGCACAGAAGGTCATACAAGCTCTGTGTTTTATCGATGTTGGCCCTGCAGTTAAGCTTTGTGTCAAAAAGTACTACTAGATATTCAGCCTTGGCAATGTGAAAACTTATAATTTTATATTTGTTAGTAAACAGTAACAGTTCTGTTGTAGAACGGTTACCGCCTACGTCACACTTTGGAGTCCATCTACTAAGATTCTGATGAGCGTCCTCCATGATTATGCTCAGAACTGAAGTAAACAGACCTATTAGTAAAAGGACAATATCGTCCGCATACACAACTGATTTTACTCCACAATTTAAAGTTACTATCCATAAGAGAGGATATAACACTCCGCCTTGTCATGAACTTATTTTAATACATTTCTTAATGCTAAGATTGCCAATCTCTGCCTTGATGATTCTGTATCTAAGCATTGATGCGATTCATCGAAAGATGCAGGCTGGGATGTTCATTTCGTTAATAGCCTCCTACCTAAATTGATTTAACTGAGTTACCCACCCAATAAACCGATTAAACAGTAAAGGATTGTTTAATGATATCAAAATTGTGCTGGGGCGCTAATTATCACCAATCAACTGGGTCAGCAACTTGTACCAACCAACCGATAATAGTTTATTTTTTGAATTTTATCTGCGCGTTTTAAAAAACAGAACAGTTTCGATAAATAAAATAAAGGTTTTAATAAAGGTTTAAAGGTTTTAAGGTTTTAGAAAGTTGAAAAATTTGCTACAAATAAATGGATAAATATTTTTGACTCAAACATTATTTCTTAAATTTGGCTCCATCGCTTTCGAAAATATGGACAACAGATGAAACTTAATGTCGTTTTTAAATAATCAATTTGAGATATAAAAACTTATTAAATTGATTTCAAATCTAAGCCTTATTTATGAGCCAACCTTTTAATTGTACGTAAATTAGGAGAAAACATATTTCATATTGATTCAATATCGAATTGATTAAGATTTACCCAATCTGTTTTTAATTCTAGCTCACACGAATATTTCCATTAAAGGTTCCAATATTTTGCATTGCATGGACAGTCTTATAGCATAAAAAAACAAACACGGAGAAGATTTGAATTGCGCATACAGCAGGAAAAACAGCATGCTTTGACAATCTACGTATTCGGCTGTATGTGAAATGAATAAAACTTTCCGATGACTTATCAAGTCACATAACAAATCTATTTATTTTCATTATAGGCACAAAAAATTCAACTAAATCACATGAAGTATAAAAAGAGTACTTTAAGCCAAAAGTCTTTTGTTACTTATATTAAAGCCGTATGGAAAATTTTCACCGTCACACTTTTCATAGTTCACATCACTTTACAATCTATTACATTGTATGGTCTTACCTTGCATGCTATAACAAACAAATGGTCAAATAAAGAAAGCGGCCCAATGCATTATTTTTAGTGTCATTGAAGGAGTAGTTTTGTCAATGCTGAGCAGCACATAATATCAATAAAAGCTATTAACTGCTTTCTAGTGTTGCTTTTAAAAAGACTTTTAGAGAATTAAACCGCACCTATGTATATCAAAGGAAATTTGGTACGAAATTGTATAGTACAATTTTATTTATTTTAGTATTTAACATTTCAAGTAAAAGACCATGAGCGGCTGCCTTATGGGAATAAAAGGACATCAAACACACCTTATCTAAAGTAGGTAGAAAATCGATTATAATTAATTGCAAAAGGAGAATTGAAAGCTCGACAATAGAAGATTTGCAACACAAAACATGTAACAATTTTAATAACATAATATATTTTTATAATAAACAATTTATATAACCAAATAAACGAGCGTAGTAAATTAATATGAAGGACATATGTACTTTCATACATATATTTCATAAAGAAATATGCATGTAATAGAAATTATTTTACATATGTAAATAATTTTTTATAATTATAAATAATTAAAATTTAAACCAATTTAAACTGAAACTATTTAAGTGCGGTTAAAATTGTTGTTTTCCATGCAAAAGTTTTGCGTTACGATCGTAATAAGTACTCGCTTATCCTTATTAGTATTTGAAATACGAACTATTCAGTGAACACATATATCCAAAATTATATAAATTAATTCAAGGAATTCAAATTTGTATCAGTTTCAATATTTGCATTTTATCAAATATTTTAAATATTGAAAATAGTTCAAACTTTTCGAATATTTAAAATTTTATGCATTGTACATGGCTTGTTGAGTAGACATGGATGAGATGGATGTGTATGAAGTTTTTAACGTATAAAGTTTTATATTTAGAGATATAGATATATTGGATATGCTCCAATAATAAGCGCCCTAGGGAAGTAAGAAGAAGTTTATTGGATATAAATTATTCAGTCTTTGATATTTGGATCCTAAGTCCAAACTTTCCAAATTAATATTTGAATATTGATAATTGATAATAATTGAATATTATGTAGATAATTTTCTTTGAAATAAAAGGATATAGGATAGAATAGCCTATAATATAGTTTAAAACATTTATATTTTAATCGCAGCTGTAGGCAAGGAAATAATCATAAGCGTTACGTACATAAGCTGTAGGCAAGGAAATAATCATAAGCGTTACGTACATAAGTGTTGCGGAACAAAAGAGATAAAAAGACGTTAATTAGTGCATAAATTATAATTGTGGTGCAATTACTCATCATATGTAAAAATTTCTTGGACATATTATATATTAAGGAAAATAATAACTGAAACTTTATTCAAATATTAAATAAAATCTTACGTATTAATCTTCTCAGACCAAATTCTTCTGGAATCAAAATGAATTACTGTTTTTATGGATTCAGTCACACTTCAAATTTACTAGATTAATAGATAGCAAGGGCGTTTTAATCGATCTTTTAGTAATGCCATTAAGCAAATTCAAAGGCATTTGTAATAGATTTTCTTGAGATTTTTTTAATGCAATTGAACTGTGTTACACAACACAAACGAGAACCGCATAGCAAATGAGATGTTCAACTTTAGGTATTTCATTTTCCCTCCAACCGATTTGTCAGTTAAACGTGTCATCGTTAGCAATACCGACAATGGTAATGATAATGACAGAGGCGATAATGATTGAATGAGTGGCTGATTGCTTGATTCATTGAATGACAATATTTTTCTGTGTTAATTTTATTCACCTTTGAAACCGCTTACACCGCACAGGTGAGGTAAAAAATATGGCGCATTTTTGTTAAAAAAAAATTCAATATCTAAATACATACAATTACATAAAATACAATTACATGTGAACATTTAAATGGAAGCAAGAAAAGTGCAAGCGGGCAAAATATAAATTCTCAATAAATAAAATGTTTTTTTTTTTAGTTTTTAATAAATCTTATATTTTGTTTAGTTAAATATTTTAAAGAATTTGATGGTCTCTGATAAGTAGAAAATAAAGTATACCAAATATTAAAAGTCTAAGTTCAGTAGCACGGAATATTTTGAATATTAGTGATATGTCATACTTTAACTTGACATGGCATTGCTACGTCATAACCTCTCGTTGATTGCTAAAACCAAGACCGCGTGTTAGAGAAATGTATACAAGACAAGACAGTGAAACGAAAAAAGTCAAAATTTATACACCAGAACACTAGAAAATCAAATTGGGAGCGAATACAAATTTGTGAGACAATGCCAACAAAATTTAATTTTATTTTTATTTTATGTTCATTAATCGTCACTTTGGTATAGTGTGCCAATCGATCTTTCTACGCTATTCATTGCATACAAAGTCAATTTTAAATATTATTTCTTTTATTACAATCGCATCTGTTCAAACGAAGGAAAGCATGACCCTATACCATGCAACACTTACTGGTTTTTTTTCTATTTTGAAATCTCCTCTATTAAAGGAACTTGTACAATTTCCACTTTCAGCATACAAAATAATGAAAAAGAATATATTATTCAGATTTGGATTTCTATGTTACTTTTGAAATTATTTTTAAAAAAAATTTCACTTTAAACACTTCACAATATCAGATCACATCTATGTGCAAATCTAACCAAATCGAAACGACAGCAGACAGCAACTAAAATTTGATTGCATCTGCCTGTCAGTCTTATAATAAACAATGGGACCAACCGTTAATAGTTCTCAGTATGGTTGCGAAGTCAAGCACACTAATATTGTAGGGAGTAAAATAAGAGCCCGAGCATATTTCAGAAGACAAATTCCGATAAACGGTTTATAGCCTGCTGGTATGCGTGTTAAATCTCAAGAGGTAGCTATTTCTATATACAGAGTTAAGAGAAAATTTCGTGTACAGTGACTGACTATTTTTTATTAAGAGACCTGATAGAAAATTTGATCAACTACGCTATGTTGTATTTCTTGATACTTTTTAATTACAAATTTTATGCAATTTTTTATTATATGTATAATAAAATATTTATTTTTTAAAAACTTTTCATGGAAAATATAAATATAAATATAAATATAAATATAAATATAAATATAAATATAAATATAAATATAAATATAAATATAAATATAAATATAAATATAAATATAAATATAATATAAATAAAAATAAATATAAATAAATAAAAATAAATATAAATATAAATATAAATATAAATATAAATATAAATAATAATAAATAAAAATAAATATAAATATAAATAAAAATAAATAAATATAAATATAAATAAAAAAAAATATAAATATAAATAATATAAATATAAATAAAAATATATATAAATAAAAATAAAAATAATAAATAAAAATAAATATAAATATAAATATAAATATAAATAAATAAAATAATATAAATATAAATAATAATAAATATAAAATAAATAAATAAATATAAATATAAATAAAAATAAATATAAATAAAAATATAAATATAAATATAAATATAAATATAAATATAAATATAAATATAAATATAAATATAAATATAAATATAAATATAAATATAAATATAAACAATTGTTAAATGTTACACAACTAAAGCAAATATATATATAACTATTATAAAGATTATAGAATGTAATACAAAATTCATAAATCCATGATATTAAATTTAATAAAATATTATGGTTTAAACCATAATTAGAAGTACTGTTTAGTAGTTAATCCTAATTATAGTAGATCTCCGCTAGTGCGAATCTCATGTAATTCGATTGTCTCGTAAATCAGACAAAATTAGAATATGCAAAATATGCTTTGTAGTTGTTAATAACATGTCTGCTTGACAGCTTAGTGATATGAGCTTAAGTGACATATTTTAGGGAAGAATATGCATTCTTGCATATTCTTGTTTGTTTTTTCTTATACGCTTTGTTTACTATTTGGTTATTCACTTCATCATATATTATGTGAATATATACATAAAAGTAATGAATTAATATAATAAACAGTGTATTATAGTTCAGTTTTTATTCAGTTTCTATTGTTAAAATAAATATCTAAATACAGGTAAGGGTTTACATATTATGCGATCACTTAATATGTTTTACATTAATTAAGGGCTGCAAAATTTTTATGTAAGTTATTTACTAGCCAATTTGTGGCACAAATATTATTCTGCAGACAATTGATATTTTGTTGAGTTGTTAAGTTACTATAATATATTTTGGTTCTGATGTTTTTATGTACCTATGTAAATTTATTATTAAGTATATTCCTTTTTTAAAGAACTAATTCATAGCATAAAAAGTCAAATCTCAATAAATGTTTAATCCGAATCAAATTAATATATATATGTATGTGGAATTTAAATAACATTTCATCTTAATTTTCTTTTGGGTAGTAATTTCAGAGAACTCTCTTTGCATTGCATGTATGTTTTAAATTTTTATTGTGCTCGAAATACAATGCTCTTTCTCATATTAAAAAAAATCTTATTTCTGTTATAGCGGCTTTTTTTTAATTTTAAGAGGCATATGTAGTTCAAAAATGAAATTAGGGTTGCTGATGAAATATGGCAATATTTTGTCGTAAGCAAACAGGTATCCTTTAACATCCTTTGTCCACTTAACTTTATCGCAGACAAGTTAGAGATATATTTTATTTGTTCATGTTTTTATAAGGACCTTTAAACTTAATTTATGGCGTTCTAGTTTGCATGGAAAATAAGTAAATAAGTAAGCAGAAAAGAGGAAGAATAAGAGAGAGAGGGAGAGTGAGAGCGAGAGAGAGATTTGAAAGCGTGTGAACGAAAAAAGTAGTCAGTAGTCAGTGCACATGGTGCAAATAGTTTCTCGTCATTATGGTTGCGCATGGTACAAATAGTTTTTTATCCATTTATTTTAAACTTAAAAAGTAAATTCTTTTGTTTTGAATACTCACAATGAGTTGCACGTTTTTTCAGCAAACTACAGACAACTAAATGCTAGTACTTTAAATAACAATATTTTATTTGATTGCTTCGAGTGCACACACATGTTATATGCACCCACATGCTTAGCTAGCGATATGCATATTCGTAAAGAAATGATAAATAATCCATTCAAAACGAGAATTACTACGTCATCAGGCAACACATGATATTTATATACATGAGTATTAATCGATGAGTTATGAATCATACGTAGTTTTTACGAGCGGTAAACAAAAATAGATACAATTTCATAACATTACCGTCGATAAGAAAAATGCAAATCATGTTTTAAATAACATGTTGTTATAATAATCAAACGAATTAGTTGAATGTTTTTACATCGAATCTATAAATTTGGATATGGCCTTATGCGCATACACCGATATAGGAAATTATTAATATACCCGTATATCTATAACATTAAAAATTAATTGTACATATGTATGTATATTAAATTATAATGTATTATGAATTAATTAGTTTAATATAATTTCCAATCTGTTAAACAAACGACCTAAAGCCTGGTTAAAGTAAATCACACTAGTAAAATTTTTACTAAAACATTTTTATAATAAATATTGACTATGGTGAAGTCAATCATTCAACACGAAATGCGGCAATATTATAATGCGTAGGTCTAATATAACAGATGTGACCAAATGCTACTCTGCTATTGCTTGCTCGTTCATACTTTCAGATACTATATTGTTAAAATGAGTACAGCAAAGACTTCGACTTTCAATTTTGTTTTTAATGTACGTAGGGTGTCGAAAGAGTTTGCGATCAAGCATAAAGCAGATGCTTCATAGCGAAAACTTTTTTCGATTATATTGTTTATTAAAAAATATGCAGTCATGATAACAATTGTTTTCATGTACAAACTATTTTCAGTATTCGACTGAGAGTTTTTATAAAAATGAAGAGAACCAAATATCGCTCTGTGTTTTAATTGTTGTATTTTAAAAACAACACCCTGTTACAAATAGAGCTGCCACCATTGATGAAACCACCAAAAAAATTGCATCAAATTGTGTTTTATAACATGGGAACGTGAAGAAGACTGTGATGCCTCACATTGCTTGAAAATTCGGAGATAATTAAGATTTCTATGTATAAGATATCGTGTTTATTATACTTCAATCAAATACCCACACTCTATTGGAAAGACTTAAACAGAACGATTTAGATGTTTTATGTATATTCATAACTATTTATGTAACATTCCTGACTGGATTTTAAAAGATGTTGATGCTAGAACGACGATTGACCGTCAGATATTAGGTCTGTTCCACGAGCTACTCATAGTAAAACATGAGTAAAACAGAAGTAAAATTTACACAAAAATACTTGAAAATTTGCTGGTGGAACGCACTTGTGTATACACAGTGTTTACTCAAAGTTACTATGAGTAGCTCGTGGAACAGACCTATTATGTTGATTACCGTTTTATTCGTCTTTCTCATGAGACATTTACGTGTATAGGTTTGGATGACATATAATTGAAATACAGTTAGACATTTGCTTAAGTCTTACTCTGCAATATTTATAACGAAAATTTTCTTAAAGATATACTGTAAAGTTAAAAAAAATTTATGTAATGAAGAACAAATTATTTTATCTAAAATAATTTAAATGTTAAAAGCCAATGATTAAAAATAATCAATAGAATATTATTGTATTCAAAATGGTGATGAAAAGTACACAAAAAAATAATTGACTCAAACGAAGGTTGTCAGATTGAAAGCATATAATTTTAAGTTTATATTAAAAAAATTATAAAAATTGTCAATTACGTATATAACAAATGACAAAGTTCATATTAATTTTTTAGTTTTTAAGTGAAATTTTGAAAGTCCACGCATATTGCAAACGCCTTTTATCGATGTGATTTTTAGGTGGAAAAACAATATGAAAAGACGTCTTATTTGTTGACCACTACAAGAAAATAATAAACGTAAATAACATAGTACAAAAACACTAGTGATTGTTACCTCAATTTCAGTATCCTCCATTCCAAGGAGTTTCACCCCAATGATATTGTGTTCCATTTCATTAAATAGTTTTTCCATATCCAGTCCTGTTAGAAAAATATTATTATTTTCATGTAGTTGCTTACCGAATGGACACAAATCAATGTCATTGGTATCGTAGGGATAGTCCAGCACAATGGCATATACTATAATAGTTCCACTTTCCAAAGTTTTGCTTGTATACCAAACTCCCGATGTTACAGAATCATTCTGATAAATCCAAGGTTTAGTAGCGTAAATAGCTTCACCGTTAGTTTTAAGCCATTTGCCCATTTCACGTAAACGCTCCTCAAATATCGGCAAAATGGTGCCATATTTTGTAGGCCCTATATTTATAAGTACGTTTCCATTACAACTCACAGTACTCACTATTTCTGTAAATTATACAAATTTATATAATAGTATATTTGATGAATTATTTTTTTTTTTTGGTAAAAACCTTTTATTAATTCTTCCGCAGTCATAAAATCAGCCAATGTAACGTCAAAACGTTGACCCCAACTAGATTTATCTAAAGTAAGTGCATTCTCCCACTTATGCTTTTGTAGAATGCCAGGATTAAAACGATCAGCACAGTTGTAGAAATCCCCATGCCTGCAAGAGGTACCAAAACCCCAACGATCATTTGTAACGATTGTATCACGAACGGGACTGTCATTGTATAACCTGAAAACAGTTGAAATTACGTTTAAAGTTGTTATATGTATTTGTGATGTATGTCAAGATGTAAATGCATATATAACTTTTCAGTAATTCTTGTTATATATCCATGGATTTGCGAATTTGGTGTTTGAATCAAAACTTAACAGTACCAGGCAATAAATTCTTCTGATTTCCAGTATTTAGCCGGAGCTTCCCAGTCCCCATCCGACCACAAAATTTCAGGTCGATATTGCTTGATTAAATCCAGCTGTTCTGGGCGTATTTTGTTGTTGACATAGTCTTGTTGTAAAAATATATGCAATTTATCGTCTATATATAAGCGATTGAACCACTCAAATAAGGAGTAATATAGGCCAAACTTAAGGTTAGTTTTTTCACGTATGGCAGCAGATAGCTCCTCTGCAATATAATCCATTTATAATGTTACTATAAATATAATTGATAGTAAATATATTTAATAACCACTCACTTATAATATCCCGTTTAGGACCAACATCCATAGAATTCCACCCAAAAGCCTGTTTTGAAGGCCAAAGTGTAAAGCCATCATGATGTTTACTGGTTAGGACTACATATCTATAATATAATCAATAATGAAACAAAAATAATCTATAAATACCGAATTTTTCTGTAGTTTTTTATAGTTTTGATAATAATGATAATACACATATGTATGTATGTTGTATCATTATCTAAAATTTAATATTCGTTTAATCATTCTAATGATGTTAACTCCTACATATCATAATTTATCATGTATTTATTATATATTTTTTTAACAGTATTACGTCTTGATCAATACAAAATATTATATTAATAATGTCTTTATTCTCGTTTTAAATCACCAAACAATTATAATTATTAATGTTTTTACGTATTATTCTCACTTTGCTCCGCTATTATCAAACAGCAGAGCCCATTGTGTTGCATTAAACAATTCGGCGGTAAAATCGCTTGCGAATTCGTGATATGAAAAGAACGGTTTATAATTTTGTTTCATAAAATCCACATAATTCGGATATTTAAGATCTGTAAATATCTGTATCACTATTATTAATTACTTTTTAATGAATGAGTACTAACTTATCCAATCCGTCCAGAACCATTCAGAGCCAAAACTCGGCACTGAATATATACCCCAATGTAGAAAAATGCCTACTTTAGCTTCATCGTACCAGTTCGGAAGTGGCCGCTTATCGAGACTCTCCCAGTTGGGTTCGTATTTAATAGTTGATTTAGCATAGCTCACATGTAATAAAAACAAACATATTAAATTGATAAGATGCCGGCTGCACTTTGAAATCATATTTATTAGATTTAATATTAAAATGATTTATTTGTTTTTAATGCAGCACGATCAAATTATTCGTGCTTCCACGCTGAAAACAGAATGTTGACTGATCTATTTCAGTATACTGTTAAGATACGAGAGCAAATCTGAGTGCAAACCGATTTTTGTATATGACTTAATCAGCACACGGTTTCACGTTTTTATTTTAAAAGGGAGCGAAATATTATTTTAATCAATGAAAAATTTTATATTCAATTTTCAAATACAATTTTATCCCCTTATCGAGCATATATGTAAAAATTTCATTCGATTATCAAAAACCTGATTTCAATATTAACAGAAGCAATATTAAAGCATAGAAGCATACTATCTACTTTTTACATATATGAAGAGCAATGACAGATGTACATATTGTATAAATATATATTTATACGTGAAATTGTCGTAACTGTGCGATTTCTTTGGGATCAATACGTTCGCATCGCTTTATTCGAACGGACTTAGTAAGCAAATTCTTATTGCTTTTCATTGGACGGTAATGAGTTCATGGTATTATATTAAACCGGTGCGTAATTTTGCACCTTATGTTGTTATTCCTCTCACAGAACTTGAGCTATTACCTTAAATTCCAATCTGAAAATTTCATCTTAGTAGACATTTTTAGTAACTTCTATATGCACATATACTGTTGAGTTTGCAACAGGTCTTACCGTGACCCTACTCGTTACAATTTAGGCATTGTATGTTATTAGTTTTCTTTGCTTATGTGGCTGCTCAACACTAATTTTCCTGCGAAGTAGATATTCTGAAGAATATATCGGATCAACTTCCCCTTTTTAAGCTTGCTTTCGCCATAATTTAACTCAACTGTGGGATACGTTCTCTCTTTATGATATTATTAATGTATTATGACCATGAAACTTTTTTCCTCTAAAGTCGATTGAAATTTCCCTATGTCTAGACCTGGCTCATTTTCTTGACCTTTGCTGCTTTTCAGCTGATATAAATAAAATTGTTTTTTTTTTCTTTTTCCAAGGTACATACTAGTTTCCTGTAAGGATCTTCAGCCGATACTTGTAGTTTTAGTACTTTTAGTTTCATGAAAATTTGCTTTCTTTGAAGGGGCAACGTAAAAGCTTCTTTTTCCTAACAGGATAGTTAGAACCTTAACTAATTCATTTGAGCTTTTTTCTCTTAGAAAATTGGTGGCTGTTCGTAAACATTAATTTTGTTTCTTGAGTGTGTTGCTTAAAAAATTACTATAGGCGTACTCCCAACCTTTCTTACACAACGGTATGACTTTTGGGCTGTATACTGCAGCTATAGGAAGGTTAGCAATAAGAAGATGCATAATATATTCTGCGAAGTGAAAAAGCAATCAGTTTTGAAAGATGTGGATATAAGCCGTGCCTTCTACCATTTATTTACCGTTTATAGTTTTTTAACGTGATTACACTTCGTTAAGATTTAATATCACGGTGCTCCTAATACATGTATCGGTATAATGTCCAATCAATGCTCTTCTTTGAATTTTAAGGAATTCCACCGATATCAATTAAAGCTATATGTTCACATATACAGCCATAGTCAAAAGTATTTACACAACGAAAGTTTTTGTACATATTGCATAAAAACATGTTTTTATTGTTGTTGTTGGACGTAAGTTGCAAAAAATTTTTTTGTTGTCACTTAGATTTATTTATGCAGAACCAAATAAAAAAAGAATTGGAAAGATAACTGTTCATTTGACAAAAATATAAGCAACTGCGCTGATGCTTATTAGTAGTCAAAAGTATTTACACACATTTTTTTTGCGTCAAAAGTATTTACACAAAACAATAATTAGCATTTATTGTAGGATTTCCTTTAAGTAAGTGCAGTTGTTGGCTTTTGTCACAAACTACACAAGTTTAGAGATTTCAAAATTTCAGAAATTATTCAGGAAAATGATAAAAACCAAGGAATTATCAGTTGAAATTCGATCTGAGGTTGGCACCTAATATAAGAGTGGGATTTCTGCGACGAATTTATTAAAGTTATGCAAAATTTTACATAAAACGATGTGAAATCTAGATAAAAATAAGAACATATGCAAAAATTTAATAAATTTGAAGAGAACTGAGCGGAAACCTCCCATGAATCAAAGGGAATGCACATGATTATTAGGAGTAGTCGTAGAAAATCCTACAATAAGTTCTGGCAAAATAGCAGCATCATCGGAAATGTTGATTGGCAAGATTATTAGTGATGCTATACTACATCGCAGGTGGAAAAATATTAATATCAATACCTATGTGGTGCACAAAATAGTCAATATTACTCTAACGATTTTATTAAATATTCTCTCATTTGCTTTAAAGTATTTTAAGTAACCTATACAGTTTCGAAACAATATGTTATGAACAGATGAGTCTGAATTTCAATTCTAGGGTTCATTTGATAACCACTCCATGCATTTTCGACAACGCCAAAAGCATAAAGCAGTGCAGCCACTCAATAGATTTGAAGGTGGTACGGTTTTGTTTTTGGAATGTCTATCATACAATGCATTTGGAGATTTGATACCGAAAAATGGCACCTTAAATCAGTCCGGTTATATTGGTATTTTAAACAACCATGTCTTAACGTCAGAAAATAGACCTTTTCCAATCAATAACTGGGTTCTACAACATGACAATGCACCATGTCATCATGGATGTGGACTTAATTCAATTTTAAAAGAGTTAAATCCTACTGTTTTTTTATAGACTGCACAGAGCTCTGGTCTTAATGTCATTGAATATGGTTAAGATTTCATAAAACAGCAAAATACTATTGATAAAAATTCAAATGGTGGTGATAGCATAATTGAAATAGCGAATATTCGGTCCAAATTGATTCGCAACTGGATTCGATCAATTCCAGCTAGGTTGCGGTCAGTTATTGATGCCAAAGGTGGTGTAACCAAATATTAATTATATTAATTAAATAAAAATAAAAAAATTTTTTAAAAATTCATCAATTAAGAAAAAGAAAATGAAATTAACGTTTTGTGTAAATACTTTTGCCGCAAAAAAAATGTGTGTAAATATTTTTGACTACTACTAAGCATCAGCGCAGTTGCTTATATTTATGCCAAATGAACAGTTATCTTTCCAATTCATTTTTTATTTGGTTCTGCATAAATAAATCTAAGTGACAACAAAAAAATTTTTTGCAACTGATGTCCAACAACAACAATAAAAACATGTTTTTTTGCAATATGTACAAAAACTTTCGTTGTGTAAATACTTTTGACTATGGCTGTAGTTTCCCACTTGAAAGAAAGTGAGGCCTATTTAAAACCTTTGCTTTTTTTTGGGTCACATCTCTCGATTAGAAAATGTAACCCTTATCAAATAAAAGGAATGAATACGGTTTTACCCAGGAAACTTTAGTGAGCCCTGACCTCCGTGGTACCTTCTAAATCTTAGTTCCACTTACGTTAGGCATTTCATACCTCGAGAGTATTTTAAAAATAAAAAAGCTTTTTTCTAAAACTAATTTTTAAGGTTTTAATTTGTGATTTCTTTTTTAAAGGAAAAATGAAAACTTTTATAAAATTTCCATTACTAATAAAATCCATAAAAAAATATCAATATTTTCATATTCTTACATATGTATTTTATATTATATTTAAAATTTTCATAAATATAATTTTTTTAACATAAATTATAAATATAAGTTATATAAAAGGCAAATTTTTTATTTAATAATATGTAATAAAATAAATAAAATAAAATAAAATAAAACAAACATTACAAACAACACGGATATAATTTTTGGCATAAAATATCAAAAAAAAACATAACCATAAAAACAAAGCAAATGCCTTCATCCCTCAAATAACTTGTGTGATGCGCGTTTGTTTGAATTTTGTGCTCTCACTTCAACTTTTGCTTACGAAGTCTTCGAAGTTTAAGTGCAGTGAAAAAGTCGAGAACAAAAATTTACAAAAAATTCGAATTTACTTCCAACTTCGAAGACTTCGTTTACTATTCGAATATTCTGATTCTTCAAATACTTTGTAAATTCGAATACGAATACGAATAGTATTTAGGGTGTTTAAAAAAATTGTGCCATTAAAAACATATAGTCCAGATATGGTAAATGCTTCCTAAAGCTTTTATATCAATGAATAATAGTAGAAAATCTAAAAATACATTTTTATCTCATTTATTTAAAAAATTTCATGTCTTCTGTGAAATATATAATATAGTTCTTTGTTAATATTGACAGAAGATCTCAATGAATACAAAATTTTTACTGTTAACATTTTTTTTAATATTAATTGTTTTAATTTAAAATTTATTCAAATGTTAGCAAGAAAATAATGTTAACGCCTTGAATAAATTAAATAGCTTATTTATTAGTTTATTTAATTCAGTTTATGTACTTTTAAGAAAAATTTACAATAAAATGTTTGCTGATTAGCAACTTATAAGACCAATGCAAATTGGTACCATCAGTTACGATTTCATAAAGAACGTAAATTAAGCAACATCGAACGTACATATTTTATGAAAACAATATTTGTAAATATTTTACACACTAGTTTAAATTTACAAAGGACTAACCAAAGTCTATTAAAGAATATTACCATGAATTTATAATATAAAAAGTGTTACAAACATGATATTTCACGTACTTAAATGACTTAATATAATTACATATAATTACATAAATTATGTTTCATGACAACAAACATTTATTAAAACTTCTGATACAAAATGAGTATTCGTTCATAAAATATGTATGACGGCAATAAATCTTATTTAATAAGGCATATACATATGTTAACAAATATAAATAAATCATCAACAGTTAACATAATTAAACAAAATTGCACAAGAAATTCTTACAGAGTCTATTTAAACTAAACTATTGCATTTACAATGAAACAGAAGCTAATGTGAATAAAATGGTGTACAAAAATATTAATAGCTGCTAATTACTATATTACAATAAAATGCAAATTATTATAATATCTGTTTATATTTGTTCAAAATAAAAGTTAGTTTATTGCTTTGGAACTGTAGTGTTTTGGAAATAGTAGTTATGATTATTGTGCTATATCTGAGGTGAGTTTGGGTTTTAACAAAATTTTATCTGTGAATATTTTCTTGTTTCATATTTTATTTAGTTAACTTTAATGGACGATAGAGATGTGTTTTAATAGTTTGACACATAAGTATTTAATGTATAATGTATTTTACTTAGATTTCACATTATTAGGCAGCGTTTTGAGCAAAACTCTATTATGAATTCAATACATATATAATTATACTAATTAACTTATTTGTGTAATTTAGACTTTTATAATTTTTAATATTAAAGACTAGATTTTACAAAACTGTATGCATAAATTTATATTGAAAATATCTTATATATTAATTTCCCTTATGCAAATTTACAAGATTAAATATTTCAAGTGTTCAGACAATATTTTGTTAATGTATTTTTTCTATTTGAAACCGCTTCATGTATAGAGATTTATGGTTTCAAATATATGAACCGTCAGTGTTCTTCCGGCGGTGTGCGAAACTCTGTAATCCAGTCGGAGATTCGTAAGCGAAATATTTCAGATTTAGTCAAAATCCAATCACGATACTGTGGTGGTATATAGTTGGCAAGTGCTTCCGCTATTTCTGGGCGCTTAAACATTAGAATATATATTAAGCCGATGTTGATGAAAAGCAAAAAGAAAAAAATAAATATCGAAACAAAAGCTGTGCTGTTTTCTTTCGGTAATTTTTTGGTGTTCCCGTTCGATTTTTTGGGTTTAACCAGTTTGTCCAAAATAACTACAGGATTTTGCTTTTCAAATATTTCATTTTTAACTCCAGTCAATATGTTTTTGGTGGCATTGTTTTGTGTTTTCTTTCTTCTGTTTTTAACTCTTTTCGATTGTTTCTTTAATTTATTTTTCACTTCTAAAGTTAATTCATTTTCTTGCGCATCTTCTGACGGCACCACGGAATTAACTTCCGTCTTTTTATCGTATGTTGCTTTACTAGCCTCTTGCTGCATTTGTGCTAAAAACTTGATCTATTAATGTAAAGATTTGATTAATAGAATGTGTTTCTTTAAAATTAAAAAAAAAAAATACTCATTACTGACATTCTATAATTTTCTATAATTAAGTTATTTGTGCTTTATGACTAATATACATTCAAAATAACAAAGAATAGTTGGCAAAGAGCATTTTAGTTATTTGGTTATCATTACTTGATCAATTAATAAGATTTTAAGATTGATAAGGTCTAGAATTTTATCTTGTACTTCAGTAATAGTATTGTTTCTTGTTTTAAGTGAATTACCTTTTTTAAACTTTTTATTAGGTTGTTCGGAAAGTAATTTGGTTTTTTTTTGTTAAAATGAAAGACAATTTTCGTATAATAAATACATTTTTCGAGCTTCGAGGATAATCCCAGGCCTTTGAAGTGGTCATAAACTGTTGAATTTGATAAATTTAACCTCAATCCGATTTCACGTGTTGTTATTCGTCGGCTCGCATCAACTAATGCCTTTATCGCGTCTTTATCAGCTTCAACCACCCTTTCCGAACGTGGTGCATCTTCGACATTCAAATTTCCGGATCGAAATTTAGCGAACTAGTTCTGGCACTGGCGTACTGTCCACACACCTTCTCCATACACATCGGTCAATTTCTTTCTGGCTTGAACAGCATTTTTACCCTTTCTGTAGTAAAACAGGAAGATATGTCGAAAATGCTGCTTATCGCTCTCCATATTTAAAAGGGAAACCAACCAAAAACTATTGCGTAGATTTTATTGGAGTTTTTCACTCACAAGCCTTGCTATATGAGCTCTCCAAGCATATAAAAATTATACGGCTTAAGTGTGAAGTTGGGTGCAAAAAATACAATTACATCCTCTGTCGGGAAATAACGAAATTCCTTTCTGAACAACCTAATATTTTTTATATTACGGTTTTCACTTTACTTATTTATTATTAATTGGTTTTTAATTTTCTTCTCAATAAAAAAGTGACAAATAGCACACTATATATAGCGAAATACGCGTTTTGACTTTAATTTTGACTTTAAGAATTAATTTGCAATTGCACAAAATTCACTTATTTATGCGATACAGCTGACTGAAGGAAAGTGATCGAAACTTAAAAAAAAATTTTTTTTATTTTTTATTAATCAGCTATTCATGATTATTCTGAAACTATTGTCGGTAATAACAATTCGTAGGAATAGATAAAATAATTCTTTGATTGAAATCTTGTAAAGGGAATCATAGAACACGCATCCATTGTTTGATGTATGATAGGCTGATTATGTAAGGAACGACTTAAAAAGATTATTTTCTGTAACGGTTTTTAATCATCACTTGTAAAAAGTGTGAAAGCTATATGCAAGTGCTTATTAAACACTTGCATATAGACCTTTTCGTTTGTACTTTGGCTAATACAAAGGAAAAAAATTATTAATATAACGAATTTGTGCATGAAAACTTCAAATAAACTATATTACATCAATTGAACTTAATATAAATTATTTCAATATAGATTTTATTTTTAAGGGTTACTTTTTTTTGTTACAATATGTATACAGATGCAATTTAATTAAATATTAACATATTTTGGAAGTGGTTGGAACGGCTGAATTTCACTTCATATATTCATATGACAAAACTTAATAATTTAGACAGTATTAATGTATATGCATAGAAATGTATTGTATATGTACATTTCTTTTAGAATCTGAATATGAAGTTTGTAAAATTCGTACAAAGCAAATATTATGACACAAGAGAAAAAAAATATTTGGACTCAAATAAACTTTTTAATATAATAATAATAATAATAATAATAATAATAATAATAATAATAATAATAATAATAATAATAATAATAATAATATATAATAATAAATAATATAATAATAAAGTAATATATATTTAACCTCATCTGCAACGAAGGTATGAATAAAGTATGAATTTGGAATACATTGAGCACATATAATTGTTATAAATAGACTTACAGTTTTTTTTGCAGCTTCTTGACAATCTTTAGACGTCAAACAATAGCCAACTACTTTAGCCAAAGACGTTGTTAAGGGGTTTCCTTTTAAGTCCAAATATCGTAGATTTGTTAAGTTACCAAAACTTAGTGGTAAGTGCTCTAGAACATTGTCATATAAGACTAGATGACGTAATAATATAAGAGCTCCAAATTCTTCCGGCAAGGATTTAAGTTGGTTCTTACTTAAATCCAACTTAACTAGGCGCGTAAGAGTAGTGAAATTATTCTAAAAGAGAAATTTGTTATTTAATCTATTTATATAGAATGAAACAGATATCGCCAAGAAAATTGTAAGTTAATATGATACATAGTATATACCTATATACGCAATATTTAAGTATTTTAAAATCAGTTAATTGTTTACTTTATTCTGTTACAGTTTAGTTTTTGTTAATGGTTTTCAGGATAATTTCTTTTTATGATAAATATGATTATTGAAAACAACATTGTAGTCACAATTGTCTCAACCGAAAAGTTGAGCTTTACTGAAAAATTTAGGTAGAAATAGATTACTTAAATTGTCCTTAAAGACAATTGGTTTAGACAGTTACAATAAAAATTAAAAGTGAAACAGAAAATTTAATAACAAATAGCATCTATGCTATGAGCATAACCGAACTCTGTCAGATTTTGCCGGTTTATAAGAATTGATTTTTTTTTAAAGGAATCCACAGCTGGCATTTGTAAACCAATTTAGAATCTGCCACTTTGGATTTGCAAATAAAAAATTCAACATTGTTCTATGAACAGATTTTAAGAATCGAGATATTTCTGTTAGGTGTCAGCTACATAATTATTGTTAGATAATAATTGATGGAAAAGTGTTAAATGTCTTTTTTTCTTCGCTATTAACTTTCATTGGTGTATAGAACTTCCATAATATCAACGCATATATTTCTGTTTGATACTGTCGTATGTATAATTCTATGTGCCATGTGTCTTCTTTTCGAACTTCTACTATCGACTGTTCCTTTCCAGATTTTGAATAGTATACAAATAATCAGCTATCCTAAAGTTTTGATTTGAGGGCTTACTGAGCGATACAATTATTCGATTCACAAATTGTATTACAATTTTTGAGCCATTTTCATTTCCTGATCTCGGATTTTGCGTGTTGTATGTTTACGATCCTTCATTATTCTTTATTTGAGATGTGTTCTGACGAGAATATTTTGTGGATATAGGTATGTAATGCATTTCGTAAGGAGTATTTACATACTTGCCTGAATCGATATTATACATCACATTATAGCACTCATATAACAACATCGCTTTCACGTTGAAATTAAATATTGGTATTCTGAAATTATTTATTAAGTTACTGGACTTCCATAAATTTTTTAATTAGCCGAACGTAATTTTTGCCTTATAAATACTTGTCCTATTAAGATTAAGACCATGGTAAGTTTTTTGTGACGTTTCACAAATTTATTGAATTAACAACTGCAACTCTTCTTTCAATAAAGTCATCTATTCGTTTGTCTGCTCTAATGCACACACTTTGAAGCAATTCGTAGCCAAATTTCGACCCACCTACGACCTGACCCGTTTCTTATCCCAAACAATTGTTCTCTTCGTTTCCTATCGACTGTTTCAGCTGATTTGTTTAATGCGGGAATTTCAATATGGATCTTTCTGACTACTGCTTAGTGATCACTACTAATTTATGTTTATTTTTGCTAACGAATGTAGCAAAGAAGAGCTCCTACATGCACTGATTAAAAAATTCTATATTCGGTTTTTATTTTTCCATCTGACTTTTGGATCGGAAGATTGTTCAATAAACCTTTTTTTTTAAACTCATATAACTCATATATTTTTCTACTAATTTTCTATCGTGGATTTTTTTAAATCGCGGAAAATAAAAATCTTATATGTACCAATATATAAGTGTAGATTATAAGTCTAAATTAGTTACAAATATTTTAACGTCAACTAGTTCCTATTACACTTGTCCAATATGTAGATCAATGCCTGCAGTATTAAATATGTATTAAAAGTACATATTTCCAACCAAAAATATTTAAACCTAAATCTAGAGCCATGCAGTGTCATGTGGGTATCCTTCATAACTAGATACATTTTTAAAGTTTGTCTAAAAAAAAAATTAGTGAATAACATATCCGATAATCAAATAGAAAGATATTATGGTAGAGATTTAAACTTTTAATTTATATTTTTATGTTGATTATTAACTAAGGACTGGGACTTCCCGTTCAAAAACTAAATCACAAAGAAACAATAAGTTAGTTTTTGAATAAATATTCTTGACTTGATTGAGTTATATGAAAAGTGTATATATGCTGTAAATATCATATTTAACAACTTTTAAAACTATATTTTGAATTTGGGATTAGTGTGCATAGACCGAATGTGTTGCATTATTTAAAGACTTCGATATAGTTGACAATTATATAGTAAAAAAAAATTAACATATCTGTAAAAAGTTATACATACTCCGAGTGATGTGATATTGTTACTCGACAAATCCAAAATAGTAACACGTTTAAAAGATGCCTGTAAATGAAAAGAACAAATGATCCAAAATTAAAATTTTTATTATGTGCCTAAAAATGAAATGAAAAGCAAACATTAAAAAGCAACCCCAAAAACAACCCAAAACTCTCATTTTATTTGTTGTACTTGAATACAGGATACGCAATATAAAAATGGAAGCTTTATTTGTGTATGTGTACGCTGAAATGCACTGTAAACTCAACTTTAAGGGTGTGAGAACATTTTGCTAAAGTATTTTTCAATATAAAACAATCAATAATTGTTACACTTAAAAAACTATATTTATATGAAATTTCACTTACAATCTCTTTAACTGGAATTTCCGTCAAACCGCAAAGGCTTAAATCACAAGTGTTATCGTCAACCTTGTCCTTCACGTTCACTTTTACTTTTTCAGTTTTCGGCATTATATAGTTGATTTAAATGCTTTGCAAGACTGTTATTCATATATTTCAAACTTTGGTTTTACATTAATATTAATTTTATTTTTTAACTTTTAAGGAAACCGGTTTAATTTAATAAACAATTTTGAAGGTCAAGGATTGTTTATTGTAATGCCCAAACCGACAGATGTGCAATTATAAAACTGAAAGAACTGTCAAATATGACAGCAAGTTTTGTGGAACTTGTTCTAAAAGTATGCACTTAATTTTGTCAGAAAAAATTAATTGCAAGTAAATGCCTTTAATGACATATTGAACTATTTTTCGATAAATTGTCATTGCAGATATACTAGCCATATTGTCACTTAATATATTCTTAATTAGGTGACATCCACTTATTATATTGAAATAAAAAGTTATTTAAAGATACCTCTGTTAGCTGACAACTTCTCAGCAAAATCTGCAAACCGTTCCACTTACAAAAATAAATTTCTAAACATATTTTAATTGAACAAATGGTCTTTCATTTTATTTCTGAATTAGTTTGTTGGCATTATATAAAACATACATAAAAAAAGGCGTTTTGTTTTTTCTTGTTCTTTTTCGCTCGTGTTTGTGGTCTTTTTTACATGCCAGGACGTTCAACGCTTAAGCGATTTAAGTGAGGTCACTGTTTTATTTTTTTTTTTAACTCAATCATACAATAAATGATTAGATGTTTTCCACCTCTTTGCGCGCACACTGATTTATAATATAAATTTGAAAGATGTAAAGAGCCACTGAAAATGCACTTGTCTTGTTTGACTTTTATGTGGTCTTACTGAATATAAGAACACACACACTTTTGCTGCTGTTTATAAGTCCCACTGCATATAATATTTGGCAGATCAATACGCGAGAATGATGGATGTATATGACCAATCACAATTTGAATACTTGAGTTTACAGATGACGTTCCAAGAAATCTTTTATTTTTAAATTCCGTGCGTAATCGACCTTCATACGGGAGTCATCTAACACAAATATACATAAAATATATAATAACAAGAATACGCAATTCTTGTCATAAATTAATGAAATTTTAAATAACGCCGTACTTACTCAGACAAGAAGTTTCCAAAAAAATTCGTGTCATTATTTTAGTTAGATGAAAGATATGCGAATAGCTACGATGGAACAATTTCTTTTCGTTTTTCTTATTTAAATATTTATGAAATGAAACAAAATCTACACTTAGCTGGATACTTCAATAACAAAAGTAGAAACTCTGGAGTTTTGTTTTGACAACCAAATGTGTGAGATGTAAGTAGATGTACGACTGTTTTTCGTATACAGGGTTGTATTTTAAACTGTAGTAATATTAATGATATGTATGTTAAATCAGCTCTCATAGTTTGCATTTAAGCCATTGGTATAAAAGATTGTATCTCTGTATATACTGTAAACTAGTATCAAAATAGAAATAAAAAACAATTTCAAGAAAACACAGTTTAATATAGTACCATTATTTAAAATTTGTCGCTTGTTACAGTTATTATATTACTAATCACTTACCCATCTCATGATGAATTGTGAATTACAAAGTACGAAAATGGTTTTAAGAGAAGAAAACATTTTTTCACATTTTAATTTAAAAAATCCATTTCTTGAAGGTATATTTTAACATTTTATTTAAATAAAAAATTAATAAACTAATTTTGGTAGATATTTTCGTTTAAAGTATTGTATTTTATTAAATTTTAAATTTCTTAAATTACAATTAAAGAAAAATATAAACAGATAATTAGCACATTGCAAAAACAACAGAACTTCAATTGTCAAATTATTGATGATACGAAATATGCTGGAATAGTTGCTTATCATATAAGCAGAATTCAGGTTCAATTTATAAAGCAAGCAACACGAACATGCGACATGCGACATCGAACATCTCTTAGATACTACTCTACACTCTACATTTTTTTCCTATAAACTTTTTAAATGAATCAGTTTCAAACTCGAAGACTTGATATGCTTTGTTGCAGCCGGTTTATTAGTTGCCATCTGACAGTTGTTGAAGCGGGAGGTTTTTTGTTGCTATTTCTGTGTGCTTGTACGAAAATATTTTTAAGAATTTTCCTCATTTTCCGAGTTTGCTTGTGTGTGACCGTATGTGCTCTACTAGAAAATTATTTATAATAGGAAATTAAAGGTGGTCAAACTTGTTTTAAAACAAAATTCGAAAAAGAATTCTTGCAACCAAAAGAATAAAATATCCGAAAATATTCCAACAAGAAAACGAATTGTTGCTTCCCAGAACGAAAGTGAAGACTCGCGCTTTTTAGTCTTTACGTTTGGAAACTTAAAAAACTTTTAATTCCGTTAGTTTTTACAAAAACTAAATAAAATGTTTATAACTATACTTAAAGTTATTTTATAAATAATACTTATGTTAAATGTGAAAAAGTTTTATACAATTTTTTTAATGATTTCGACAAAGTTATATTTTACGTACTAATTCCATATCAACAAGTTTTCCCCAATTGTTTCCAAGAATTGGCAGTTAATTTAAAAAGTATAAAAAAGTGAAACGTTTTGCTGAGAAAACAAGAAAAGAACACAGTAAAACGATATTTATTTAACAAAAAAGTTCTTTGGGTTTATCTCCGAAAACTTTGAGAGCGCGAACATGATGAATTCGATTTGATCAATGGCATTGAATGTGTTTAAAAAAGGTACAAAATACATTGTTTTTTTTTTTAAATTGTAGATACACAAATGCACATACTTAGCCATTTCGCTATTTTTATTTATTTGCTCATTTATTAATGATTGAAATTACACAATTCAATAAGCAAAGCGAAACTACTAAGTGATTAACTTGGCTTGCAGATCAGTGAGTGGATATTCTCTAAGTTTTTTCTTAGAAAAAAGTATGTATTTCGGTTCTGATAGCAAAAAAATACTTTTTGTTTTTGTATAAATATAGAATGTATAAATTTACATATTTGTAAGAAAATGTATAAATTAAGAACAAATAACCAGTTGAATCTTAATAAAACGAACTTAAAACATATTTAATCAGAATCGTCGATTGTGATTAATCTGCTCTCACTAAAGCGTTTTTAGAAGTCTTAAAGTTTAAGGGTTTTTTTCGTTCCGTAAATTAATTTTTTCATGAATGTTAATATTTTCTTATCCAGATGCTTCTAATTTGTATAGGAAATAGTAAAATCAATTAATTGCATACATTCAATTAGTTAAGTTAACATTCTAAATGAATGCCATCACCTTTTTCCAAATTCATTTATATTATAATTCTTCAATACTAATTGTTTTTTTTTCTATTCTATTGACTTCTTACCAAGGAAATAAATTGACTGCTTACCAAGGAAGTGTACCTGAGGTCATATACATGGCTTGTCGTACCATTTTTTCTATCTTTATACTCTTTTGCCAATTAAATTTCAAATGATCTTGCAAAATTAGATAATTTTTTAGAACTTTATAATTCGATATAGGTATACTAACAGAATTCGAATATTGGAAGAGAAGTGAAAATGATTAAAGTTTTTAGCTCTTGTTATTTTTTGTAACCACCCAATCTCTAATTGTCTATATATTCCATCTTAAGTGATTTTAATTTTCAGAATTTTACCAAAAATTAAATAAAACCATTAATTAAATTCAATATGCATACATTAACATACGTCTTAACTTTTGTTCAGGGACCGAAAATAACAGTTATTTTAAAATTTTTTATGAAAAAAAGCAGCAACAAAAAGTTGTCTAAACTCTTATTTAAGTAAATAGTTATTATTCTAATAACTTTTATCCTTAATATTATGCATGCTTTTTATATATGAGCTTTTTAAAATAAAACTCAAAAAATAATAATTAAATTTGATTTTTATTATATTCATCAAAAATAATAATTATTATATGCCTTTTATTTTTTTCGCGCAGAAATAACTCTTAAAATTTGCTTCTTATTTTAAAACGCACAAATAACTGGTACACTTGCGTTATATAATATAAAAAGCAAGAGTATCGCGCAAATTCTGCGCGATATTTTTAAAATGAAAATACAAAATGCAATTTTCATACAAGGTAGTTGTTTTTGCAATTCCATAGAAAATGTTTTAAAAGGTTGGTGCAGGTAAAGATTTAGTTCAGTTTTTTGTTTTTGTATTTTGCATTTATATTTTGTATTTATCTTTGTATTTTGTAGGAGAACAAATTTGTATGCAAAATACAAAAACAAAAAACTGAACCAAATCTTTACCTGCACCAACCATTTCAAACATTTTCTATGGAATTGCAAAAACAACTACCTTGTATGAAAATTGCATTTTATATTTTCATTTTAAAAATATCGCGCAGAATTCGCGCGATACTCTTGCTTTTTATATTATATAACGCAAGTATACCAGTTATTTGTGCGTTTTAAAATAAGAAGCAAATTTTAAGAGTTATTTCTGCGCGAAAAAAATAAAAGGCATATAATAATTATTATTTTTGATGAATATAATAAAAATCAAATTTAATTATTATTTTTTGAGTTTTATTTTAAAATGCATATGATAACAGTTATAAGATGATTTTTATTTTTTTTATGATAACTGTTACGGTCCCTGCTTTTGTTAGAGTGGCGAATGCAGAATGCTGCACTTTATAAAAAAACAATTATTTCGAAATTCTCCCGCATAAACAAAAACGTAGAACAGTTAAGCAACGTTAATAGAGCTGTAAATTATATAACAAGAATCTAAGAAAAACGGAAAGTAGATTCTTGGGTTGATCAACAAGGAACGTAAGATCAGGGCTGTCACAGGACACCTAGAACTTAATCCAGCAGAGAAAAGAGAAAAAAGCTCAGCTACTGCGAGAAAACTTATCGAAGGTGATGCAGCAAGAATTAAAAGCAGAATACAGCCGCTTGAGCAAGTGCATAAAAAAGTCTACTAGAAGAGACAAGCGAGTATGGGTAGACGAGCTCGTCCAAAAAGCAGAAAACGCTGCACCTATAAGCGACACAAAAAGTCTGTATGAGATTACTCGCACTCTGTCGGGCAGAGAAATTAACAGCAGAAAGCCAGGCAGAAATAAACAAATCACGTTGTTGACAAATGAAATGAAAGAGAATAGATGGAACACACTTTAGAGAAGTACTAAACAATCCGACAAACTCTAATGATGAGGATGAAATGAGCTTTGCTGATCTGCCCAACTATCTCAACAGTATTGATACGTCACTGCAATTCAAAACTGAAGTTATTGCTGCAATTAAGGATCTAAAAAATAGTGTACTTACTCGGTATTGATAACACGTGTGTGGAATTTCTTAAAAACGACCCCGGTACGTCTGCAGATATGTGGCTGCCCGTTTTTGACCAAATGTGGAAAAATGAAGATTTTCAAGATGACTGAAATGAGAGATGACTAAATTACTCGTCAAAATACCAAAAAAGGTGACTTAAGTAAATGCGATAACTATAGAAGTATTATGCTTTTACCTAACTCAAGTAAAATCTTCACAACTATTATTCTCAAACGTATATATAATGGTATCGAATCAAACCTGCGCGAAAATCAATTCGGTCTTAAAGTTTCCCGCTCATGTTTTGATCTCATTAACGCAGTACAAATAATTTTCGAGCAGTAAAATGAGTTTAGAAGCCTTCGTACGCTTCATTTACTGGCTTTAAAAAGCTTTTGACAGCATGGTACGCGATTTTATTTGGCGGTTACTAAGAAGGAGAGGTATGACATTTAAAATGTTACAGATACCTAAGGCAATGTACGCACATTACAGATGCGGTATCCTTCATATGGGGAAACGTGCTGCAAAACGTAGGGCGGTCAGGTCAGATTACACAAAAAAACTAAGATAAGGATATTCAACTCTAACGTAAACTCAAAATTGTATTATAGCTCTGAAACCTGAAAATGCTCAAAGTTAACTTATCAGAAAATATGTCTTTATAAACAAGTGCTTGCGACAGATTTTTATAATATGTTAGCCAATTCGCATATTAAACGAAGAACTTTGGGAAGGAACAGATCAAGTATGTGCGAGTACTGAAGTTAAAAAACGTAAATGGAAGTAGATATGGCATACTTTTCGCAAATATAAACATTTTCTTGTTGTTGATTTTTTGATGTGCCCAGATTTTGGTCATAATGAATTGTTTTCAAAACCAAAAAAATAATGTCCTTTTACTTTGTTGATCACTGTACTATAAGGCCATGTGTGCTATAGCACATAGACGTGCCTATCTATGGCTTCATTAATACAAAAACCACTTTTTCCACTAATCCCTTCTCCTTAAAGTAGAACTTGACATTAAATCGTTCTTAGATTCGAATTGTGTCCGCTAGTAAGCGATAGCGAGATATTTTGATTTATGACTTCAATTGCCG